AATCTCCAACCTAGATTGATGTATCCTGCAAAACTATCTTTCAAAATTAATGGGGAAATAAGATACTTCCACGACAAAGAATACCTGAGAAACTTCATGAACACCAAACCAGCACTATAAACAATTCTAAACAGTATTGTAGAAAAAGACAATGAAGGTCATAATTCCATGAGGCCCAACAAAGCAAATCCATCAGGCAAGGCAAGAAAGTAAAGAGGGGGGGAAAAATAAAAAATAAAAGAGCCAACAACAGGAAAATAACATGACAAGGATAAGTCAACACATATCATCATATATCATAACATATCATCTATGTTAATGGCCTCAATTCACCAATCAAAAGAAATAAACTGGCAGAATGGATTAAGAAGCAAAATCCAACAATATGCTATATACAAGAAACGCACCTAGTTCTAAAAGAAACTCATAGACTGAAATTAAAAGGATGGAAAACATTTCTCCTTGTGATGGGAACCCAGAAAAAAGCAGGGGTAACTATCTTATTCGCAGACAAAGTAAAATTCAAACCAAAACTAATTAAGAGAGGCAAAGAAGGTCATTACATCTTCTTAAAGTGAACAATCCAAGAGGGAGAGATGACAATCATAAATATATGTGCAATAAATATGAATGACCCCAACTATACAAAACAAATATTAATGGACATGAAAAGCCAAATAAGCACTAATACAATTGTAGTGAGGGACCTTAATACCCCACTGTCACAAATAGACAGATCATGGAGAGAAAAAAATCAGCAACAAAATACTAGAACTGAAACAAGCTTTTGAACAAATGGACTTAATAGATGTCTACAGAGTGCTCCACCCCACAAAATCAGAATATACATTCCTTTAGGCTGCACACATGTCATTCTCCAAAATAGACCATGTGCTAGCTCATAGAACATGTTTAAGTAAATGCAAAGGAATTTAAGTTATCCCCTGTATATTATCAGACCATAGTGCAACTAAACTGGAGATCAATAGCACAAGAAACAGCAATAACTCCACAAACACATGGAAAATGAATAACACTCTCCTGAACAACCAATGGGTCAAAGAAGAAATTAAAGAAGAAATCATACAGTTTCTACAATTAAATGACAAGGCCAATATAACATAGAGCCATCTATGGGACACAATGAAAGCAGTTCTATGAGGACAATTTATGGTAGTGAATGCCCATACTAGGAAAACAGAGTGAGCTCAAATAAACTACCTAATGCTGAACATTAAGCTCCTAGAAAAAGAAGAGAAAGACAAACCAGAGGCTTATACAAATTATAAAGATCAGAGCAGAAATCAATGCAATGGAGACTAAGAGAACCATAAAAAAAATCAATGAATTGAAATGTTGGTTTTTTGAAAGAATAAATAAAATCAATAAACCCTTAGCCAACCTTATCAAAAAGAAAGAAAAGAAAAGGCACAAATCCATGCAATTAGGAATGAAAAAGTTGAAGTCACAACAGATCCAGCAGAAATACAGAGGATCATCAATACCTACTTCAAGAACCTGTACTCTAATAAAATGGAAAACAAGAAGAAATGGACAGATTCTTAGATACATATGAATTACCAAAGTTGAATTAAGAAGATATAAAAATTCTAAACACCCCAATTACAATCAGTGAAATTGAAAACATAATTAAAAATTTACTAACAAAGAAAAGTCCAGGGCCTGATGGCTTCACTGCTGAACTCTACAAGACATTTAGAGAAGAAATATTGCCACTACTCCAAACTCTTTGAGAAAATTGAGAGGGGGGCATTACTTCCAAATTCATTCCTTGAAGTAAATGTTACTTTGATTCCAAAATCAGAGAAAGACCCAACCAAAAAAGAGAACTACAGGCCAATCTCGCTAATGAACATAGATGCAAAAAACTTCAATAAGATACTGGCAAACAATACAGAGGGTCATCAAGAATATCATACACCCTGACCAAGTGTGATTCATCCCAGGGATGCAAGGATGGTTCAACATATGTAAATCAATAAACGTAATACACTATATTAACAGAGCCAAGGACAAAAACCATATGATCATCTCAATAGATGCAGAAAAAGCATTAGACAAAATTCAACACAAATTCATGATTTAAAAAAACCCTACAGAAAATTGGAATAGTCTTTATCTCAACCTGATAAAACCCATCTATGAAAAACCAACAGCCAATATCATAC